CCATCCACCATCCAACCATCCACCATCCAACCATCCATCCATCCACCATCCAACCATCCATCCATCCACCATCCAACCATCCATCCATCCATCCATCCATCATCCAACCATCCATCCATCCACCATCCATCCACCATCCACCCACCATCCATCCATCCACCATCCAACCATCTATCCATCCATCCATCCATCATCCAACCATCCATCCATCCACCATCCATCCACCATCCATCCACCATCCATCCATCCATCCACCATCCATCCATCCACCATCCAACCATCCATCCAACCATCCATACACCATCCAACCATCCACCATCCAACCATCCATCCATCCACCATCCATCCACCATCCATCCATCCACCTACCATCCATCCATCCACCATCCAACCATCTATCCATCCATCCATCCATCATCCAACCATCCATCCATCCACCATCCATCCACCATCCACCCACCATCCATCCATCCACCATCCAACCATCTATCCATCCATCCATCCATCATCCAACCATCCATCCATCCACCATCCATCCACCATCCATCCACCATCCATCCACCATCCATCCACCATCCAACCATCCATCCATCCACCATCCATCCACCATCCATCCACCATCCAACCATCCATCCATCCACCATCCATCCACCATCCATCCACCCACCATCCAACCATCCATCCATCCATCCATCCATCCACCATCCACTACCCACCCACCATCCAACCATCCATCCATCCACCATCCATCCACCATCCAACCATCCATCCATCCACCATCCAACCATCCATCCATCCACCATCCATCCATCCACCATCCAACCATCCATCCAACCATCCATCCACCATCCAACCATCCACCCACCATCCACCCACCATCCAACCATCCATCCACCATCCATCCACCCACCATCCAACCATCCATCCATCCATCCATCCATCCACCATCCACTACCCACCCACCATCCAACCATCCATCCATCCACCATCCATCCACCATCCAACCATCCATCCATCCACCATCCAACCATCCATCCATCCACCATCCATCCATCCACCATCCAACCATCCATCCAACCATCCATCCACCATCCAACCATCCACCCACCATCCACCCACCATCCATCCATCCATCCACCATCCATCCACCATCCATCCACCATCCATCCACCATCCATCCACCATCCAACCATCCATCCATCCACCATCCATCCACCATCCATCCACCATCCATCCACCATCCATCCACCATCCAACCATCTATCCATCCATCCATCCATCATCCAACCATCCATCCATCCACCATCCATCCACCATCCATCCACCATCCAACCATCCATCCATCCACCATCCATCCACCATCCATCCACCCACCATCCAACCATCCATCCATCCATCCATCCATCCACCATCCACTACCCACCCACCATCCAACCATCCATCCATCCACCATCCATCCACCATCCAACCATCCATCCATCCACCATCCAACCATCCATCCATCCACCATCCATCCATCCACCATCCAACCATCCATCCAACCATCCATCCACCATCCAACCATCCACCCACCATCCACCCACCATCCAACCATCCATCCACCATCCATCCACCCACCATCCAACCATCCATCCATCCATCCATCCATCCACCATCCACTACCCACCCACCATCCAACCATCCATCCATCCACCATCCATCCACCATCCAACCATCCATCCATCCACCATCCAACCATCCATCCATCCACCATCCATCCACCCACCATCCAACCATCCACCCACCATCCACCCACCATCCAACCATCCATCCACCATCCATCCACCATCCAACCATCCATCCACCCACCATCCAACCATCCACCCACCATCCACCCACCATCCAACCATCCATCCATCCACCATCCATCCACCATCCATCCATCCACCTACCATCCATCCATCCACCATCCAACCATCCATCCATCCACCATCCATCCACCATCCACCCACCATCCATCCATCCACCATCCAACCATCTATCCATCCATCCATCCATCATCCAACCATCCATCCATCCACCATCCATCCACCATCCATCCATCCACCATCCATCCACCATCCATCCACCACCCACCATCCACCTACCATCCATCCATCCACCATCCAACCATCCATCCATCCACCATCCATCCACCATCCAACCATCCATCCATCCACCATCCATCCACCATCCAACCATCCATCCAACCATCCATCCACCATCCATCCAACCATCCATCCACCATCCAACCATCCACCATCCAACCATCCATCCATCCACCATCCAACCATCCATCCATCCATCCATCCATCATCCAACCATCCATCCATCCACCATCCATCCACCATCCACCCACCATCCATCCATCCACCATCCAACCATCCATCCATCCATCCATCCATCATCCAACCATCCATCCATCCACCATCCATCCACCATCCATCCACCATCCATCCATCCATCCACCATCCATCCATCCACCATCCAACCATCCATCCAACCATCCATCCACCATCCAACCATCCACCATCCAACCATCCATCCATCCACCATCCATCCACCATCCATCCATCATCCACCCACCATCCATCCATCCACCATCCAACCATCCATCCATCCACCATCCATCCACCATCCACCCACCATCCATCCATCCACCATCCAACCATCCATCCATCCATCCATCCATCCATCCAACCATCCATCCATCCACCATCCATCCACCATCCATCCATCCACCATCCATCCACCATCCATCCACCACCCACCATCCACCTACCATCCATCCATCCACCATCCAACCATCCATCCATCCACCATCCATCCACCATCCACCCACCATCCATCCATTATCCACCCACCATCCACCATCCACCCACCATCTATCCATCCACTCAGATGGTTTCTGTTTCTGGTAGCAAAGAGTCCATATCAATAAAACAGGTAAACAGGGTACTGACCAGTCTGATATTTATTATAAAAACTTCTGGGAACCCAATAGGTAGGTCTTTATATTGCAAATTAGCCGGCAGTTACTCCACTGACCATTTGAAAGGAACCTTACTGTACAGAGAGGGCAATATAAGGTGCGGTCCAAACTCTAAATGTACAGTTTAGGCAGAGCTATTAAGAAATAAGAAATTAAGGGAGAGGAAACTGAAAGCAAACACATGGCAGCACAGGAACGAGAAGGCCACACAGGTGCTGCCCCCGGAGAGCGCGCTCTGCTCCGGCCCCTCCCAGCGCGCCCCGGCGGTGCTGCCTCACCCAGCCTCGGGAGCCCCGGTCACAGGGGGAGAGCCAGCATGCGCCCGCCTCACAGACGAGAGCCTGGGCTCCTGGCCTGCCCGCAGTGACAAAGAGCTAGTGGCGGGCATCAGAGGCGGAACGCCACCCTGGGCTAGAACGAAGGGGGAGCGGCAGAGAGTCCAGAGAAGGCAGTGAGGTCCCTCCACCCTAGAAACTTGAAACTTAATAGGGACATCCAGTGTCCAGCAAGCCAACGCCTGACTTCAATCAAAAAACACACACAAGACCCCTGAGCCAGAACATGGGACAGTCCCAAAAGGTACTCGCTACTCCCCGCACTGTCCGCTTAGTGCCCACGTATAAATCGAGTTACTGATGAAACAGACTGGACCGACCAGAAGGCCTGTTTCGTTTTCGTTTTTGTTTGTCTCCAGGAGAGGAAGAGAACTGGGTAAGTTCTGCCTGCAGCTCTCGCCTGCTGAGGAAGACGCAACGACAAGACGCAGGTGTAAACTTGCAATGGTGTGATTTTAGGATTTCAAAGTAGCTCCTGGAAAGCACCTCTGTACTTCAGGACAGAACAGCTGCAAGAGGTAAAGCGCTACGCTCTGCCGAAAGGCAGTACGTGTCTCACTGAGAGCAGGGCCCCGTGGAAGAGCCTGGAGCTTCAGGAACAGACTGAGCACAACCCCAAACGCTGGGTAGGTATGCCTGAACTTGCACCTTTTCTTCTTTGATCACTCGGCAAACTCAGAGGTTTTTTTAATCTCTCTCGTGCCTTCACTTGTAAAATATCTGCTTTCTGTTTCCTCTTTGTACAGCTATGCTTCACCTTTTAATATAGTTACATGTCTTCTTTTCACACAATTAAAGTATATACAAAATACATAATTTCTTCCCACTTTTTGGAAGGTCTATAAAGGCTCTTTTTTTCAACCTTGTGTAATTGTTACTCACAGCTAGAATGTTCGGCTGGAAGATCTGCTACAATACTCCACCCAGCCCGCCTGCCGCCGTCCTAGCCGCACGGCGGCTCCGGTGCCGCAGCCCACAGCGCCCCTTCTACCACGCGGCCCCCACCAGCTGCACAGGGGCAGAGAAATGGGCGCAAGCTAAGCCATTTTTCTGTTAATTTAAATTTGATGCTGGAATAGAAACTAATGTTCAATAAAGTAAACATTCTTCACACTCAGGGTCTCATGAGATCCTAAAATTTTCCTTTCATGTCAGCATGTGAATTTCTTCCCTTAGATAAAAGATCCAAGTTGGTTTGTTTTGGTATCAACCAAAACAAGTTATTCAAGTCTACAGTTTATTTAAACTAACCTCTAAACCATTAAGTTTTGTAGATACCAAACACAGCACAAAGAAACTGAAGCGCTTTATAATTTCTTTAGTCTTTACTCAACCACTAAGAATTAGGTAATCACAGTAAAATTATCCTTAATTTGTAAATCATTAAAAAAGCACCCAGAAATAGTTCTCGACTTACACATTAGAGTATATTATGCTATAAGATGTAAAATACTTATGTAAGTAAAGTAGCCTATGAACATCCTCTTTTTTTATCTCTTATGTTTTCTGAAAATGTCATATAATTTATTTCCTTACAATGGTAATTGGCAGATTTTAAAATTAATGTATAAATGAACACTATAATCTGACTCAGAAACTGAAACAGAAAGAGAGGAAGGCACGGCGCGGCCGGGGCGCGCGTCCTGCGCACTCACCAGCTTCTCGATCTCCGACTCCAGGTTCTGGATGCAGTCCAGCTTCCTCTTGCGGCAGCGCTGCGCCGCGATCCTGTTCTTGCTTCTCCTGCGAATGTCGTGGATGCAGTCCAGCTGCTCCGGCGTCAGCTTGTGCATTTTCAACAAGGACTGGAAGTCATTTCGAGACAGGGAAATTATCCGTTGTGCGTTAAATGGCAGTTTTACCTGGAATGTGAAATAAACATTAGTCGTGCTGCTATATTTTATAATTACACTTGAACCTCGGAAGAGAAAGACATGTCTTTGTTTTCCAGAAACCTTCATTTAGACTTAAAAAAAAAAACTGGTCTCTATTCCCAATTTGTACACAATCCCTTATAATAAAGATTGATAACTTATTTGATATTTCTAGTCTCTTTTAGAGATGGTTCAGAAGACAAATAAATTGAGAACAGGTATTTCATAAGCAAATCAAACAATAACACAAAATGAAAAAACAGAATTTACATTTAAAATGAAAAAACAATTTATTCTACTAGGGCATATTAATACTCCACAGATATCTTTATGCCTTTTTCTAAAGTGTTTTTAATGTGTTTATACCCAAGCTTTCTCCCAAATCTATTTTATTCTTTGATTTATATTACTGGGTGGCCCTTATTCAATACTAGTATAATTATGCTAGTATTTCTAAGGCATTTCAAAAAATTTATTTTTCTGCCAGGAAGTGGTAATTTCACTTAACTCATTTTAAAAGCTACACATTACACTTACTAATGTAGAAATAATTAGAAAAATCCTGCAGATATTTTAAATTCATTTTCAACATACATGAATTTGGAAAAGCTAATTTTTTAAAAAATGACAAAATTGTGGGACAGTTTAATTGTATTAATGACCGAAAATACAAGCAACACATTGGTCAGTTTCTCTGGCAACCTACTTAGTTTGTTACATAAATGAAACAAGAGGTTTTTAAATTTCTTAAATGCCTCGTTTTCCGTCTTCTTTCCACAGCCCCGCACACGGGACTCAGGCCCCGGGCCGCCCGCACGCAGCCCCCCACGGCATCGCCCCCGTCCGCGGCCGCCGCTGGACACCACCTGCCGCCCTCGGCCAAGCCGGCGGCGTCCCGCACGGCAAACCGCAGGGACGTTACCGGGAACGCGCGAGTCCGCGTCGCTGCGGGAACACGGGGGTGTTTCACAGGAGGCGGCCGTCCCACGCACACGCTGCACGCTAAGTGCGCAGACCGCGCTTGCTGTGACGAGCGCCGCACCAGCTCCGTACACGTGGCACTTGCTAAATCACTAAGACAGTCACTGAATTGACAGCCGAAAGGGCTAAGGGACGATAACGCCGTAAGTGCTGGGAGAAACTAATGGAAAGACCTCGCGGCCGCGGCCACCTCTCAGCAAGGAGCCTCCCGCCGGGAGGTGCCCTGCAGCGGCCTCAGAACCGTCAGTCTTTCCCCCTGGGACACGGCCTGCGACACAAACAGCTAAACAGCCGAGGCGTGACCCCCGCCAGTCACCGTGACACACCCGCGTGACACCCACGTGACAGGTGGGCCTGCCGCCGCGTCCCGCTCCAGGGCCGCACCTGGGGCCCGCGCGCCAATCCCGAGGAGACGGCGGCCCCGCCCCGCCCCGCCCCGCGCGCCCCGCCCCCGCGCCCCGCCCCCCGCGCCCCGCGCCCCGCCCCGCGCGCCCCGCCCCGCCGCCCCGCGCGCCCCGCCCCGGCGCCCGCACGCCCCGCCCCGCGCCCCGCCCCGCGCGCCCCGCCCCGCGCGCCCCGCCCGCCCCGCCCGCCCCGCGCGCCCCGCCCCGCGCGCCCCTCACCTCGCAGTCCTGCTCTCTGGCGGAGCAGGGCTCGCTGTCGCCTTCGGTGTCCGTCTCCGAGTCGTCTCCCAGGGTGATGACACAAGCGTAGGGGCACGGCTCCTGCTGGGGCTCCGAGGCGTAGTCCTCGGCTCCACCGTCCGCGCTGCTCGACCGGCCTTCGGAGCTCAGCGTGCTCATGAAAGGGCAGCTGACAGGGCTCAGCGTTGCAAAGGTCCTCTGGCCCGGCTCCGGGCTCTCGCTGATCCTGATCCCCAACCAGGGACACTCAGACCGCTTCTGGGGCTGGCCCTGTTCTGGCCCATCTTTGGCCACGACAGGGGCAGGCGAGAGCTGCATCGGGCGCGGAGAGGCCACGCTGCAAACGTCGCTCCAGAAGCCCTTGGCCAGGTGCTCGGCCACCTCCCGCTCCACGCTGCTCCGCGCCAGGCTGCTCCCTGCCCTGGGGCTGGGGTCCGACCGCAGGTGTGAATCTTGGCTTTCCCCAAACGTTTTCTCTTCTCCAACGTCTGGGCCTGACAAAGGCTTTTCTGTTAACACTGCTGTGTTCTGCATTCCAGCAAAATTCAAGTCACCATACTGGTCGTAGGTGTGTAAGAGGGACAGAGAATAGAGCCCTGGAGGGTCAGTGGAAGAGCTGTGGGGGAGGGGAGTCACCCCCGGTGTTTCTGAGGGGCACTGAGAAGCCGTCTCTCTCTTGGTGTCTGTATGTTCCATCGCTGTGTTACTTTCTTCACATTTTAAAATCACCGGCAAAGCCGTGCAGTCCTGGATCCCTCCCGGACATTCGTGTTCAGATGCCTCGCTTGGCTGAACAGAAGTGTGAACGTCTTTGAACCCAGTTTCCACAGTACGGACTCTGTCAGTTCCAAACGCTTTTTGGAATTTTCTGTATTTGGGGCACAGAGATGGCAAAGCCAGAGCAGCGCCTTTTTCTAGGCACATGGCCTCGCACGTCTGACTGGCACTGTCTTGGACAGGAGGCGATATTTTTGTGTCTCCTTGATACCCACGGAGCTTACACTGAGCAGGAGTTGGAACATCTTTATACCCCCAAAATTCTTCCGCCTCCTCAATTTCTAAGTCCCTCTGGTCCAGAAGTGAAAAGTTAAGGTCTGTTTTCTGACAGTGTGGTGGGAAGCACTTTTTCCCTGCGCATTCTTGCTGGTCTGCAGTGGAGTCCAAAGACTTCAGTTTGAGAAACTGGAAGCAGGATTCCTCGATATCGTGAATACCTAGAAAGTCCACACACTTGCACACTTCATCCACATTGTCCTTACTTAGAAAGAGCTTAGCAGTGTAGGCAAACTGAATTAAAGGTTCAAATCCTTTAACTGTCACCTGTCAAGACACAAAGTAACAAGGAAGGCATCACTTAAAGCTGTCTGGCAGAGGAGCACAAGGGACGCAGCAGGGACAGAGACGGAGAGCTCGCTGTGACCACGGTGAGGCAGGCACTTCCCCTGGGGAGACGGAGGCTCCTCCGCAGCAGGCGCCCCGGTTCCCCGGGGCCAGCCTCCCCCGCACGGAGAGAAGCCGGAGCACAGCCCTCTCTCACACAGTCAAGGCGGGGGGGGGGGCGCGTGGCCAGCCCCGCCCCCAACCCCAGGCTGTGAACCGCAAAAGCGAACATTTTAAACATAAAAAGGACTATGTCAGAAGGACTCTAAGTAGTCCCGATCCATGGCAAAAGCACAGAGAATGGCAACTCCTATCTTTACCTCCTGCCAAAAGTTTCTAATAAAATTTGTAAAGATTCAGATTTAAAAAGTGAACAAAGTGAAGCCTAAAAATCCTGCCTCCTACTGTTGGGCAAAGATCAGGGACTCCAGGTGACAACACCTTTACGCGGAAACTTGTCCATTTACACTGAACCTGCCTCTGCAAAGCAAGGGACACATGGGACCTAGCGAGGGCCAGAGAGGCTCGTTCTGAGTTAAAAACACAATATTAACTTAACGACACCGAGTTGCTGTGTGAGTGGCCAAGATACGACGTTTGGGACCCCCTTAGAAACAGTCTAAGCGGCACAGAGCGAGCTGCTCGGGGCAGCAGTGGCCCTGGGGGGGACACCGCGCGGCGGGGCGGGGGGTGGGGGGGTGGAGGCGGGCATGGCCGCGCCGCCGGCCACAGGCTGCTCGCAGATCGAGAAACCGCCGCCTCGTGTCCCGGCAACTGCGCCCTGGTCCTCGTAGCCCTGAGAAACGATCTGTAGTGTCCAGAGCGACTCTATCTGTGATGCCAAAAACTAGAATTAGCCGAATTTCCTTCAGCCAGTGAAGAGTTGAATAAAAACCGGCTCCCCCCATGGCACACTGCTGGGCAGTAAGAAGGGACTATTGACACATGCAACCCAGGCCAGTCTCAAGGGAATTAAGGTACATGGGGAAAAGGCCAATCCCAACAGGTAACATACCATGTGACGACAATCACATAACGTTTTTGAAACAGTAAGACGAGGACAGACTTGGGGCTGCCCGGGAACAGCTCAGCATCCCCACGGCGCTGGAGGCGCGGGCCTCCCCAGGAGGGGGTTGTGTGGGCATCACCCCCCCCCCCCCCGCTTAGTGCACGTGGAACCACAGAACCTGAAAAAGGCGATGATGGGCTGTATCAACGCCCGCCTTGGTTGCGACACTATACTGTTATTTTGCAAAATGTTATCACTGGAGGAAACTGGCCACAGCGTACAAGAAATGCCTCTGCATTTTTGTGAATTTTCTCTTCTTTCTCAATAAAAACTTCAATTAACCATTCTTAAAAATACATTAAAATAACCAAAAACGGCTTTTAAGACAGTTGATTTATATAATAATATTTTCAGTCTGTCACTACTGCAAATATTTGAAAACACACAGGATGTGCACTCAGATCAGAATGCACAAATTAATGCGCGCGTGCGCACGCCCGCCCCTGTGGGCCTTGCTCCCATACCTGGGCCTCGCACGCGCCCCCTCCAAAGGGCTCATGAGCTGGAGCTGCAGACCATAAGCAGCACATCCCCACTAGGAGGCGCCCTGCTACACCCCAAATCCACGGCTGCCCCACAGCTCACCTTCTCCCTCAGGGCCCTGGCACTGCCTTGCCCACAGAACTGAGGCGGGGGTTCCCCGCGTGGCGGGCACGGCCACGCAGCCCACACAGGCCCGGTGCGCACGGGGCTCCGGCACTTCCCCGGGTCCCTCTGGACGCGCTCTAGTCAGCGTCCCCTGCCGCGGGCCCTCGGCTCTCCTGGCGCCCAACCTGACCCATCCTGCTGGTTCGCAGGGTCGGGAGCCAGCCCGCCCCCACCCCCGCCCAGCACAGATTTCCAGGGGGCAGGACGTCAACCAAGATGCCCGCTTTTAGAGCCGCACACCAGGCTGGTCGGAGGTGTGCAAAAACAAGGCTCTCAAAACGTGGCACCAAAGCGGTCTTCCTTCTACGCACGCACAGGCCCAATCTCGAGGGACAAGAAAGGAAAGAATGAGAACACCGTGGAGCACCAACCCCTACCAGGGGCGTCTGCGAAGAGGAACCCCAGGCCCGGGCACCGCCTCCCACCCCAGGAAGAGGCCCCAGGGAGAGACCGGCGTGTGCGTGGCCCCCCCCAGTGTCTCTAATCCACTCGCTGTGCCCAGCTTTGGTCATTTTATCAGAAATAACGTAAGTTCTTCATCTGCTCAATAAATATTTTTAACATCCACAATTAATCATTTTATTTAACAAGTTAAAGAAATGTCCTGTTGCAGAACCTAGGAACGGTTCCTGAGTCTCAAAACAAGATGGTTTTATTTTTAACTTAGTGAACCATAAGGGGTCGAATTAGATTACACTAGAGTACAATCGGGGTGACCTGCAGCGGGGACCCTCACCTCTGCCGGCAGGGAAATGCTGAGCGCGGCGTCAGCCTGGCCCACGACCCTCGCGTGGAAGTAGCTGCTGCAGGCCGCCAGCACGGAGCGGTGGGCGCGGAACGGCCGCCCCTCCACGAGCACGGTGACGTCGCAGAGCACGTCCTTCCTCCGCTGGTCATCGAGGCTGAGCAGGACGTTGGCGCTGTGCGCCGAGGACTCATAGGCGAAGGCCGCGCTCTCGCTCAGAGACATCTTGCGCCACACGCGGTGCCAGGAAGCCCCGTGCACGCATGCTTCTGACTGTCATCAACCCTGCAGAGACACATGAGACTTCACTGAGATAAAGTCTTGTTACAAGTGTTGTGAAAAATGCCAGTGTCAAATGTACAATAAAATACTCATCACTAAAAGCAAAGAGAAAACCGAAAGCCCCCAGGGAGCCCAGAGGCGCTTCTTCCACCTCCTTCTCTCACGGTGGCGCCTCACTGCTCCTCCTCTAACTAGTTTCAGGGACAAGGTCCTCGGGCAGAGAACAGCCTGTGGGAACCAGGGCCACAGGGTGCACGTGGACGAGGCGGTGCAGCCGAGAAAGCCCCTCCAACAAGCAGGCCGGCAGGGGGAAGTGCCCAGGCGGCACCCACTCCTGCTGCCAGGAGAGGGGTGGGCGTGTGGGTCACCAGGGGTCGTGCTGGGCTGGGGCTGACCGGCGGGGCAGGTGCCCGGCGGTGCCCACCACGCCCAGGCCCCGCCCCCAGCGCCGGGCAGCTGGTCGGGGGTTTGGCCTTTTGTAACAAGGGGCCCGCTCTTCAGAAGGTAAAGTTCCTCCAACGCTAAGAAGAAAGTGCCTTCTTTTGAGAAGACGACTAGAAGCTGCCAAGCAGATGTTACTATGCACCTTTTTCTGTAGCAAGTCTCACTGTTCACTGCAAGCGCAGGCAACAAGCACAACTCCTTCATCACTAAAAACACCGATCCCATGCTGAGAGGCTCCTGGTTTTCTCAGAAAATTAAAACTCAGGAGAGATTTACCAAAAATCGTATTTTTAAAATATAAACTAACAGAGTAGCCAGTCTTCAAACATCTTTGATCACACACACATTACTTGCGAAGAAAGCATAGCCCCAATCTCTTCACGTGCACCTGTGTATCTCAGACACGCGCAACGAGTCTTACATGCGACACGTGCTTCCACGCCCACGGACGCTGAACGGAAGAGGAGAGAAGGCCTTGGGTTTCCTCCTGAGCCAGCGCCGGCGGCGGGCCTGAGGGCGTGCGGCCCTGAGACCGGGGTCCCTTCCCGTGACGGCCCCTCCCTCCTCCTCACTCACCGCCTGAAACAGGAGGGCCCCCGAATGCTCAAGGACTGGGTCACTGCTACTGTTCTCAGACTGACTCTCCTCCACAAAGGCGAAAGGGGAACAGGGACAGTGAAGCCCAGACGGACCGGGCCATGTCCCGGGGGAATTCCACCCCACAGACACCCCAGGCCCCGCATCCGTAAACTCCCTTCTGCGCGTGCGCTTCGGTGTGGCTCAAACGTGCGTTCCTCAGACGCAGCCAATGAAGGTAAACTCCCTCCTGATGCGCTCAAACTCCGCGCAGCATCAAGCACCACAACCTGCCCGTGAACGCCTGGTGCACCCCGCAAGACCAGGGCCCTTCAACACGCTGCCCGGGGACTAACGCGACTTTTGGGGTGGCCCAGACGCAACAGTAAAGTCCCTCTGGCCAGTGGCCTCACTGCTTCTGTTACCCCCACAGGGAGCTGTGCTGGGAGTGGCAGGGAGGAGCTGCCCTCCCAGGAGACGACCTGCCCGCGGGGTCGGCCTCAGCCCGTCCCCTCTGAGCCCAGCAGGACTCGTTGCCAACCTGCCCCACTGTGTCCCTGCACCCGGGGGACCCTCCGCAGTCTTTCCAACCTCTTAAAGCTGCACTAACCTTGCTTTTGCATCTCGCTGTTCTGCAGAGCACAGCACAGGCAGGAGAGGGTGGCCCAGCTGCTGGCTGGTGTCACTGCCGGCTCAGGCGCGACCCCAGGGTCTCAGCCCGGCCCTGCGGCCCTCCGTGCCCTCGCTCTCAGCCGCCGCCGTGTAACCGGGACGCCCGCTCAGGAAACAGCCTCCTGCCACCTGCCCAGGCTCCCGCTCCCCTCCCTACCGCCCTCTCCCGCCTCGGCAGCCGCTCTGCGGCGCCTTCCACGGGCACCGGGCACAGACGCGTCTGTCTCTGCAGAAACTGTCCTGAACATGGAGAGAGCAGCCCCCACGGCACCCCCACGGCGCCGCCGCCCCCCAGCTCCCGCTCCGGCTGCTGGCTCCTCCGCTTAAACGCCCCAGCCTTGCCGGCTCGTTCTCTGACCTCAGCCACTAGCAGAGCACCTGGCCCAATGCAGGTGTCTGCTGCTGAGTGAAAGACTTGGTATTTTTAGCACAAACCCAAAACCTGGGCCATCTGCACCCCGCCCCCCCCCCAGAGCACAGTCAGCTGCTCCAGTGCACACGCCACAGAGGCAGGCGCGCGAAAGCCGCCTGCAGCAGCCTTTCCAGGGCCACGGGGGCGAACGGGAGTCCCGCTCACGCCTCTGGGAGCTGGGAACGCACCTGCAGAACAAGTGACCCTGGAGAGCAGGGCTTGGCAACTACAGGCGCCGCCGCCGCTGACCCCGGCGCCTAGGGCCCGCGACCCTGCCTCACCGGACTGGGGCACCTGTGGGCGCTCTTCCAAAAACCAATTTTCCTAATTCTGAAAACCACCCAAGGGGTCATCGGTCCATTTCACCCTGCAGTGCGACTGAGTCAGGACTAACCGGGTGAGCATGGCCCACACCCTCCCAGCCCCGGAGCCACCTTCTAACACCCCTCGAACCCAGAAAGTAGGTCTAAGACCCCCAAGGGAACTTCCAGACCTGAAACTGCTAAGTAACACCATATTTAGATTCTTATGTTACACGTGATTTTTTTCTATATTCTCAGAAATATATAGGCTGTCATTAAAGTTCAAAATAAAGGTTTGCTGACCTCAGAAAATAGCCGATCTGCTCAGTAATGTCGATAAAGAACCAATAGAGACTTAAAGCTTCCTGAACCTCTGTTTGTCAATAAGCCCAGCTTCCTGCTCAGCCACACAGTGTGTTTTGATACAGTGGCCACGTGATGGTTCTGCTTTCAAAATCATAAAGAAAATGAAAAATGATACCGTGACTTCATTACGTGCTAGTGTCTTCATGGATCATTTAACTTAAAAAAAACAAAAAACCATTTTCAAAACCTCGGGCACCCGAGCGACCGTGGAGACGACCCACGTCCCTCTCAGCAGGCGCCGCAGGGGCTGCGTGGGGGCCGAGCCCCGGGCACGGGAGGCCTCAGGCCTCGCGGGCCGCACTTTCCAACCCTCCGCGTCGGGCACACAGTCACCTAACACGAGAGGCCCCTTGGGGAAAGGGGAGCTCCCAGCCCTGCGCCCGCCGTCCTGCCTGCACAAGGGCGACCGTCCCTTCCCCAGGCGGCCCCGCGCCCGTCGCCAGGGCAGGTGCCCTGAAGCCAAAACCAGGCCCTGGGCTCGAGCACAGGACCTGGAGCTGCTCCAAGGAAAACTGGTGCCTCGGGGTGAAGGAGACCCCAAGGGGTGCCACAGGCCACCCAAGGGTCGCAGGGCCCACCTCCCGGCCCCCCACCCCCAGCAGCTGCCCTTCCCTCCCGCCGCAGGCAAACGCAGGCCAGGGCCTCCCCGTGCCCGCCGCCCGCTGCGTCCCCCTACGCCCCCACGCCCCCCGCCCCCCAGGCCGGATCCAGCTGCAAGGCGCCCGGGCCCCAGGCTGCGAGCACTCTCTGGGCACCCGGGGAGCCCGACAGAGTTCCTGGTGGGTGGCAGAGACCCCAGAGCATCGTATGCGCCCACCTTCAGTCCTCCGCTTTCCTCTCGGGGCCTTTATGAAGATTTTTAGAATTTAAGTGGAGATGTGCAGGGGAAAGAATTTCTTTAAAAACAGAGCTTTTCTTGTTACCATTCCCAATTCTGAAAGAACATTAACATCAAAGAGTCTGTGGGCACTTAAACCCGAGACAACAATTTCAGCTGGCCTCCTTCCCAGCCTTCGAAGACTTGGCTCGCCTGCCAGGAGAGCCAGGAAGAGTGGCTCAGGGACCAAGACCTACTACTTTCTTTACGCTTCTGCAGATCTTAAATATCACACTTGTTTATACATCGCATCAGATGATCCCGTCTTCTAAATCCATTTCTCTCAGTCATAAGAAAAGTCTCAAGTGTGACCGCATAAGGCACAGGTATGAACATACCAAAAAAGGCTACATGAAAAGGAAAACAAGCCCAAACTCGGCTCCGTAGCAGAAAGGCCCACGGCCGCCCCAGGGACGACGACACAGATGCCAGGCACGTTGTCAACGGCGCACGGGGGCACAGGCCGGCACCCGACGCCGAGGCCGCACCTGCGGGCGCTGAAATCAGCGGGGGGCAGTGGGCGGGGGGTCCCCTGCAGTTCTTGCAGCTTATGATTCACAGCATTAGGTGACGTACCACATAGAGGGAAAGTTAGATTTTTTCCATTTTCTCTTCCTAATGTTAAAAATTATATCATCACAGGCCTCCTATTATATTTACTTGATATAATTCCTACCTAAAATTATAAAGCTGAAGTTACAGGGGAGCAGTTTGAGTGGTTAGAAAAGTCTGAAGTTGTTTACAGATTCACCTACTGACAGGTCAGAAACAAAAGGTAGGTTTTTTACTTCCCAAGTCAACAAATACAATGTCGATATTTCCAGGTAGTAAGTTTAAAATAGCTTGGAAGGGAAGAGAAGAAAAGAAGGGACACGGGAAAGCCAAGCTCCAGGGCCGACAGCAGGGACCCTGACGCTGCTGTTACGCGTTCCTGCTGTTGTAGGAAGGACTGGAAAACAATCAAGTCTTTTATTTGCTCAACATATTCAGCAGCAACTTGCTCCTTAAAAGGACCATTACATCGCAATGGAATAGGACTAGGCTAAGAAAATACGAACGGGCACGTGGAAGTGGCCCACAGCGATAAAGCTAATTTACTGAGCACATGTTTTTTATCATGTACTTGTCCATCACTATTTTATTTATCCACTCTGAGGCTCTGGATACATGGAACAAACTGCATTATGGAAGGTATACAATTCAGTGAGTTTGGACATTTCTGTACGTGCACGATCAAGACAAAGAAATTGCCAGCACCCCTCCAAACGCCACACGGGCCCCGTGAGGCCGCTCCCCTCCCCGGCTCCCCGGCTCCCCGGCTCCCCCGGCTTCACGTGACCAACGATTCGCTCTA